TTGTTGGTTCTCTCCTGTGCTTCGAGATTTTACTCTGGGTTATTCGGTTTTCCTCCCTCCTCAAAAATTCAACTTCTAAATTCCAATTCGATCTTCATGGGCTTTCACCTCGCTGTGGTACAACAGCTAAAGCTTAATAGACTATAATGATTGTCGTTTTTTCCCCTTAGCAAGTTTTATTAAGAAGCGACGGTAGTTTAGCGTTCTAAATTGGGCTGTCGATCTATCAAACTTTGCACGATCCTTCCTTTTCATCCCTTCTTCTCTTTCTCTCTGCTTTTCCCCTTCCTTCACAATCCCATGTCCCTCCCTTCAAACAAATATGTGAAGCTCCTGACCCCGACTTGAGGTCAAGTTATTTAAGTTCAAATCCACTAGTTCTAAAATTAGTAATCAGCTATTTTTGTACAAATGCTTAAATATTAAAAACATTAGGTAACGAGTAAGATCTTCGCAGGTTTCTACACCCAATCGTCATCTCCTCACCCTACCCCTGTGAAGTCAAATCGTCTTCAAGATCAGTATCAAATATCAAAAACATTGGGCGATGAGTAAGATCTTCGCAAGTGTCTAGCCCCAATCGTCATCTCCTCACCCCACCCCTGTGAAGTCGAATCATTTTCAGGACTATTTTGATCTTTTCGTTTTGTGTTACTGGCAATCCTTCCATCATTTGATCGTTTTCTCATGACGTATAGTTGTCTTCTACCTTCACGAGTTTCATCTGGAATAGAAATGGTTTTGCTCCTGCAGCGTTCCGACTCTCCTTCGGGATATCCTCGGGAATAGCTCGGGTTGGTGAACTCAAACAAAGGAGGGAGTATGTTCTCGCATTGCGCTGTTTTCGCTGCTTGAGTCACAAAACAACGAGAGTTTTCTTCCAAAATACTTGGTAAATGAAAATGATGTCTTTTCTTGTGGCACTCTTTACCATGCTTGGGCCTAAAACTAGCCATTTTCGAAACATTTGTAGGTTTTTCTTCCAACACGTATTCGTCATTCATCATAGAATCCATCTTTCCTTCCTCCAGTTCTTCCTCACTTCCTGCGCAAGCACTCATTTGTACATCACCCTTGAACGACTTTTTAGACTTCAATGAGTTTTGAACGTTTTTCAAGTCGTATTCTTCTTGCAGAATCTTGGAAATGCTTGCCTTGTGTTCGAGTTTGAGCTGTCTTAGAGTGTTATCAAGGTCTGCGTTAGACTTCTGCCGTATTGCTTTGTATGTTCGTGTGCTTTGCCTCGACAGTCCTGAAGGGTTAAGTTGAACTCTATTGAGTTTGGACATGTTTTGTCTCCAAAAAATATCCCACACTGAGATGTCGCGAAAATTCGACTTTTACATATTAGTAACACTGATACAGTGCCATGAATAGAGACTTAGGACCGCATTTCTAATGACGATACAATATGAAGTGTTTCAAATCATGTATCATGATATGCCAAGGCTGTTTTTGTTCTAGCAGAGTGTCATTCGAAACGCTCAACAACTATACGTTGGTCAAAACCGTTAACCTCTGCACCGAACTGAGCTGTCTAGAACTGGACAACAATTAAACGAATGCATTCAATGTTGACCTCTGTCAACTAAAATTGAAGGACAAAAGATATGGTTAGATTTTAGGGTTACAAATAATAATAAACTCGTCGCGAAACTTTTCACTTCTACCGGTTTTAGCCAGGGCGGTATCCGTGAGAATTTGCATGTGCTTTACCGTTTTGGGAGAACGTAAAAAATAATCATAAATGCTATCTTGTTTATCGGTACTTTATTCTGGTTAAAATTTTCAGCTTTTTCGGTTTTCCCTCCCGCACAAGTTGAGGCCGAGATCCTGAACTAAAATTATTAAAAAATAAACAAACTAGGAGTTACACATGCGGTAGCTCGCATGTTGCATGGATTTCCCTGACAATTTATGCGACCAATGCTTTAGAATCAGTTGATTCGAGTCATAGTCCAATTTAATTGCTAGGCGGTCTGTGCTTGGTAATTGCATGCAAGGTCGCGAAAAGACGCATAAACCTTCATCTTTCCTACCGCAGAACACGAAGCAATGTAGACTAAGGCACTATCAAACATTTCGGTAAGATATTACTGAACTTAATCCTCATGCAAGAAATTTTGATCTAGAGCACGAAAGGAAGGAAGGAAGGAAAGAAGGAAGGAAGGAAGGAAG